ATATGTATAGAAAAATAATCAATATGTATATAGTGACACAGTTTCTTGGTACTTGAAATCAGAGAAATTGGAGGCTCAAATGCAGCAGACGATACATATATATCCGCTGAAATTATGACAGAAATATGTTGACTCACCGGAATGCGGCACCACGCTTGAAATGTCTCACTTGCATCTCATCACAATGGATAACTTACTGCTACTAAGAATTTTGACATATAAACTCATATTCGTGCAACATTGAAGGTTGCTATTCGTAATAAATACGGGTCACCAATTATGGAAGTAAAATTTTTTTAGACAGATCGTTAAATAATTATAACAATTGAATAGAATAAATATTATTTTGTTTTTGGTTGCTATGGGTTACCAGACCGGCAGAGTTGAGTTGTAGTAGGCGTTGCCACATATCTATTTATCTATAATGTATATTAAACTTTTAATTGTTTAAAAACTGTACTTTTTAAAAACACATATATAAATATGTATGTAAAATAAATAAAACCTTTTTAACTAATTCTAGACCAACGTATGTCTGATTTTTCCGCCGACACAGACGCATTTCCGAATCCAAGCCTAGTGTAGTTAGGTAGTGACTATTCTTAATATATTTTTGGTATGTTATAGCAGATTCAGCATTTTGCATTATTTTCTTATTACGAATATATTCTATATATTATATTACTGAAAGTTTTTTTTGTGGGGGGGGGGCGCCACAAAGGTATTTTGCCCCGGGCGCCAGTTATGCTTGCTACGCCATTGTATAAATTGTAAATAAATTTAAATTATTATGCTAATAAGTTTTTTCTAAAATTTATCTAGAAGAAAAGAATTAGATAAACAGTACTGCAAATTAATATAATCAATCAGGCCTCCCAATAAATAAAAGCTTATTTTTTTTAACCCAAAACTAACAATTGGGATGCAAAAGTGTGTGTAATATACTTGGAAATATCTGAACATATAATTAATTAAAAATGTACAATTAAATTAATAACAAGCTAATTAACAATAACATTAAGCTTAACTGAAGTTGTATTGCTATTTTACGTAGATTTGCGTACAAAATAAATATTTGCACTTGTGAAACAAACTTGTGTCCGAAAATGCAAACTGCGACCGCTAGAGGGCAATATTCGTAAGCGTAGAGGAGAAGAAAGAAAGGATGTCGAAAGAAGTGTTAATATGATTTTTATTAAAAAGCATAGTTAAATCAGAGAAAATATTCACAATTCCTTCCATTCACCACAATGCAAGCTTTACAACGTCGGTGCATTGATTCACGGACACATTCAAAATGGGCAGGCGAGTTACGGACACGTGTACAGCCGCTTCCAAGATCCTGGAGACGAGATCTATGTCCGGTGTTACGGTCGTCTTGTACACCATGGACTTTATGTATCTCTACAGGTAGAAATCCATGAAAGTCAGATCGAAAGATCGCAGTGGCCATGCGACTGTCGGCCTCTGCAAATCCAGCGATAAGGCTATGTACTATAGAATTATTCCCGCACAGAGCTGCTAAAATATACAAGCGCTCCATCATGCTGAAACTAGATGGTTCAACATGTAGCTGCTGGAACGTCAACCATAAGATCCGGCTACACTCTTGCCATAACTTGTCACACAAAATGTCCATAAAGAATTGAATGAGCAAGCCGATTCATTTTTCTTCTGGAAGTTCTCGCTTCAAATCATCACACTTTCCACTCTCCCATAAGCCTACGAACATTGCCCTCTAGCGATTGTAGTTAGCATTTTCCGACACAAGGTCCCTATGTAAATCTTGTTTGTTATGGTATGACAGACTATCATGTTAAGTTTGGCAACGACCTTTTGAGGGCCGATGCTATTGGCACCAACGGTGCGATCTGTAACCTTAGAATAAGTACCTCTTGTTCACAGCTCTTTACATATACTATTTTGGTTCGAGATATGTTTCTACATTTCGTAGAAGGTAAATCATGATTAAGTCACTTTCTTTGAGTAATCCTTCGTTTTAGTAATCAAATAACTGGGAAATACGATTAAAAAGACGGCAGGAGCAAGAAGAAGTTATATCCTGCCCAGGGCTTAATTTCTAAGATTAGAAGAGCCGGAGCCCTGTGGAAGATCGTCAGCAGAGAGGAGTAAATAAATAAATAAAATGACTATTAAACTCATTAATAATTTTAAAATTAAATAGTTAATTATTATCAAATTAATTAATAGCTATTTAATTAATATTTATAAATTGTTTTTAATTCAATTTATTATATAATTAATTATTATAATTTAATTTTTTAATTTTAGATATTAATTATTAGTATTTATTATTAAAATAATTAACGATTGAAGTAATTAACTAATTAAAATTAAATAAAATGCAAAGAGACAAATTGAAATTTAATACGCGAATTTTAATATAGTTTTATTGTTAAAATAAAATTTTCGAGATAAAATTTCTACTGAAATTCTTATTCAATTACATAAAAGAAGTGCGGTAGCCTTCTTATTAAGGGCTCCGGTGCGTTCCGGCTAGAATTATGATTTATTACAAAAATTAAGAAGCACAGGAGCCGAGATCCGGTGGGTTCCGGCCCAATTTAAGTTCTGATCGTAGGGAAGTTCTTTTATCATCACAAAAATTAAATATGTAAATACTTAAAGTATGGCTGATGAAAATTCCAGGGCGAAGCAGAATGAGGGTATGAGTGGGTGGAAACAAAAAAATGAGGGTAATCTTGGTGAGAGAGAACGTTCTCTTTGACCGCGGCTCTCTGTTGATATAATTATAGCCGGGCTCCGATGCGCTCCGGCTGAAATTGTGGATGGGTGTCAGGGGTAAATGAGTCCTGAATCGGACTCCTAAATGTAAAGTTGCTGGTTACGCTTCCGCCCCCCCCATTAGTGGATACTGTGGGAAGACGATGTATAAGACGTGCATGAGTAGTTTATCTCAGTATTTCACTCTTATTGTATTCTTATTGCACATTTAAGAACACAAATTTTCCTTCCTGCGAGGATAACTATAAGCATCGATAACAATTACACTACATACAATGGCATGGCGAGAAATTTAGGCGTTCCTAAATAAACCCGCATATGAGTGAGGGAACTTTACTGGAACGTATCATGTTCTCATGAGTTCGTATTTCTAGGGAAATAGAGTTTTGCAAGGTCTGCTTATTATTAAACTAAAAAGTTAGGAATTCTAATTTTTTCCCCCCTTTAAATTGTGGTTCAGTTTTATAAAAAGAAGTACCGGAGCTCATCTTATTTAGGGCTCCGATGGGCTCGGGCGCAATTTAAGCACTGATCCTGCCAATATAAAAAAATAAAAGGGAACAATTCAGTTTTCAGTCTAGGATTCATTCTAGGATTTCAGTCTAGGATCTTTAGAATATGGTAACTGGTAGTTTGGCGACATTTTGGAGGCAATAAAGGTTACTACCTGGGACTTTGATAATAATGTGAGCAGTACTCAGTTCCGATTACGCATTATTTTGTGTGAGGGAAATGAGAGATCATGGGATATGTCATGTGATAATAATGGACGAATTACGGTTCTTTAATCGGAAAAGGGGGGAAATCTGGAAAAAATCTGGAATTTTGTATTTGGCTTAATCTGTGTTGTGTGAAACAGTGTTCGTTAATTTTTGGATCCCATGGCCCTAACTAAAGTGAATTCGAAATGGGTATTTAGTGGGATTGAAAGGGGTAGTAATAAGTGTTTCTTTAAGGTTGTGCGAGATAGAAGTAAAGATGTTTTATTAAGTTATTTATTTTACCTGGTACCTTGCTGTGAACTATAAGTATGATTTTAAAGATCCTGAAATTTTATCGGACACGTAAGATTCTGAAGAAGATTAGGTAGTTAGTATTTTTAATTTGAGGATATTATTTTTATGCTTGTTCTAAATGAAGGTGGAAATAAAGTAATTTGCGTAAACGTGCATGGAAATAATTTAATATTTGACACTAAGTATTTGTAACCATTTGTAATGTTTCGGTATGAATTAGTTAGTGACGTTTGTAATAATAGATAATGTAGAGGTAAAAGTTTTTGGATATTTTATTTATTTTATACGGGGAAATGTTCATATTTGGAAAGGGTATATACTTTTCGCGATCAGGTAATTCATATATGTTCTTTTACCGGTTTAAAGATTCAAAAAATTGTCATGTATTTTCGTGAAATTTTTCTAATTTATGAGAAAAAAGCAGTGTACATGGATATAGTGAAGAGTGTGCGCAATGCCATTTTTGTGCAATTCTGGGATGTTTTTTTAAGTAAAAATAAATCGACGTGTACATGGTTTATGTGTATGGGTTATTTTGAAAAACGCGTAAGGAGTATGGTATTGTGCACTTTTTCCCAATTTTGCAGTGAATATTTGTCATGATTAAGCAGTTTTGTTAGATAAAATTTCTAGCATAAGTGTAATTCGGTTAGTAGATTGTTGGAAGAAGTGTTCAGTAGATAAAAAGAAAAGAAACATGTCTTTACTTCGTGAAGACAAAATGGCGGCGGGAAAAAAAAATAGAGGGTTGCTGTAGGAGAGTTGGTCGCCAAAAAATCGCCAATTTACCATAATGTAAAGAACAACCAAGACTTCAGAGTCAAATGATTTTCTTTCAGTAATATTTTATTAAAAATTATTAAAGGAATTCTTTTATTCACGTTGCAGTTTTTTAAAAAAAGACATTTATTCTCAACACAAATTTAGAATATAAGTTTTAAATTTACGTTATTAAAGCAACTATCTGAATACATTCCACTTAGTCTCTTTAATTGTTAGATATTATATTTACAAAGCCGTGACAAGTAGTTATTTTATGAGAATTAAGGGTCTGAAATGCAGTTTAAAAACAAGACTTGAAACGCCTCATTGAGTTTCATTTCCATTGCTCTATTTATGCTTACGCCTAATTCAGGATTTGCATTAAAAAGGAGCAAATACAATTTCGCTTTCGGCAACACTGAGATAACTGAGTGTTGTCGTCTAGGCAACCGTGTTGAGGTCGTTTATCTCTCTCTCTCTTTTCTTTTTTTTTTTTAATCTTATGTTGATATTTTAAAAGACCATAACACTAATTTTGCTTCTGGAAAGATTCTTTTGGAGTTTATAAGATTTTTGTTCCTTTGTCGTACAGAGCTGTCCTTCACTGGACAGTAAACTGTATGCAAAACTTAACTGAGTAAATACATGTGTATCTTCTTCCTTTGGGCACAAGTTATCAGTTTGTAGCATTTATTTCCGGTGGAATGGCCGTACTTAGCAAATTAAGAGAATTATCGCTGCCCTATAACTGTTATGAAGTTGGGCATACATGGACTCCAGACTGCTATGAAGCAGCACTTTCTGTTGGATTGTGTTGTTTACTTGAAGGCATGAAACTTTATGCACCCTTATATTTGGTAAATATACGATTTTTATATTTATATTATTTTGGTGACTATTTTTTCTCTGTTTGACTTCTTTTGTTTATAAAATATCACCAATAATGCCTACAAAATATAAAGCCGTTTCTTATCAAACACTAGTAATAATAATAATAAACATTCAGACTTTTTAGTAGACTTATGAAACACAGTGTTTTACTTTTTGTATTAAAGTATAATGATTTTGCTGTAAATGGATTTTTTTTTATTTTTATTTATTTATTTTTTTTTCAAATCTTTAAACATCAAATAAGGGTGCAACTTTGGTAGACGGTTGCACGGAGTAGCACCCAAATAAGTGTTGGTAACATGTCGGTTATTTTCTTTCATTTTTGCCTCATTTCATATGTATCGATATTATTGGATTAATGTATTATTTATAGTTAGAAGTTTGTTTTAGATACTATTTACTCTTTTATGTTAATCATTAAATTACGAACTAATAAAATATACTTTAAAATACAAACATCTCTCCCCCCCCAAAAAAATATAAGGTATATTGCATTGAAATTAATTTATAGTGAGAGTGCTGGAAACAATATACACGTGCATATTGCCATAAATGTTGCAGTGTATTAATTTTAGCAGTTCTGAAATGTTTGTAGTCTTGTGATAATTAAATTATTTCAGTTTGTTTGATGATAAAACTTCTTGAATAGTATACATATAATTTGTAGATAATTCAGTTTTAAATTTAAAAAAAAAAAAGAGATTTTTTCTTAACTTGTGCTTCATTGTAATCTCTTTTGTAAAAATTATAGACATACTATTCTTCCAATTTATATGCTCTACTGATGAAATTTTGAAGCTAGGCGATTTTCCATCCTCCCGTGTTGTAGTGCTCTTTGCATTCATTATAAATTACGATAATTTTCCATCTGAAATTTTCTTATTTCTTATTTTTGATAAAGAATAAACTAAAGTGATGGTTTCTAATTAATTGCAATATATTTTCCATAATTGTTATATTTTACAAAATTGCCAGTAGCTATATGATATGCAAGTATTGAAATATTTATTTTAAGACAGATCTCTGAACTTTCAATTTATGCTAGAGAATATTTTTAAAAATTTGCTATGATCTGAAATTATCACAAATAGATATGATAATATCTAAAATGCTAATTATAAATTTAAAAAATATTAATGTTTTGTAAATGCATAAATTATATATAGGTACTAGTCCCGTTTAGCAGTTACTTTATTTGTTAATTTAAAATTTAATAATGCAATTAGGGTGAAAGATTATTTTTTTTCCCAATCATATCTCCAATTAGTGCATTGTTCTTGAATTTCAATAAAAAATGGGATAAGAGCTGTGTTGACAATATAGGAGTGCTTTATGTCTGAAATTGTTGCCATCTCTTTCTAGGATAAAAATATATATATATAAATAATAATAATAAAAAAAAAACTGTAGTGTAAGCATTAAAACTATTGGGTCATCCAAAAAGTTCTGTGGTTTTTCAAACTATTGTTTGCCTTTTTTGCGATTTTGCGTTGAAAACGTTAAAAGGCTGTATCACTTTTCAGATCGTTGCCACCAAATACAATCACCCTGTATTATATTTGAAGAAATTAAATAATGAAGAATCTGCATAAATGTACGTTTGTTTCTAGCATTATGATAAAGCAACTGTACTTAGAGCCGTCCAATTTTGAATGACGTAATCCTTCTGCAAATATGGGTATCTGAAAGACCAAAATTTGAATTTGTTTTATTATCAATTTCATATTTTGTAAAACTTGAATGAATTTTTGATTAACAAACTCAACGATTTAAAAGCGAGCAATGGCAAACCCTGTACGGATGGGGGGAAACCTTTTTATCTCCAGTGCATGGAACTGTGCATTGGAAATTCTAAAGCTATGCTCATTATAAAATCATTTTGTGATGGCTGTTAAATTGAATTTTATGGTTTAAGTGCAAAGAACATGATATTTGATAAATAAAGGTAATACACAAAACGTTAAAAGTCCCTTTGGACGTAATTTAAAATCAAACCTTTCAGATTTTTTAATTATTAATTTGTGTATTTTCTTTTAATTATTTTGTTATTGCTGAGAAGAAGTGACCATGTTTACATCACATAATTCTAACATCTGCTGAAGAATAATTTTTGTTTCAGTGCAGTGCTAAAAATGAAGGGCACGAAAGTTTATTTTTGTCATACTATGTTCTTTTATTTTAAAAAGCAAAATTAAATGTTATCACACTGCTCATAAAATCTGTGCTATAAGATGGACAAAGTGTTGTATCTGATGACATAGTTTGAAGGGGGTTTGAAAAGTGTGGAAATTTTAGCCTTAGAGATCATACCCATTTTAGATGACCATTTCATAAATTATGGTTTCATATTTTTAATTGTGTAATTTCTGCATGCCATCTCACCTGATTTAAATTGATGATCTATAATCTGGAAAAATCTCTAATCCGGAATCGCCAAAGTCCCGACGAGTCCGAATTATGAACTTTGTACTGTATCATAATTTTTTAATGCTTCATTACTATTTTCTTCAACAGATGATGTTACGTTTGTTTTTGCTTTGTTCTGATAATTTCTTTCCATACGAGATTTTTTCACTCCTCCGATCGCTGAAATTTTCTTTCTCTCTTCCTACACAGAGAAACCTATGTTTAATTACTCTCAAAATTGATTTCAAAATCTATGGCAAAACAAGATTGCTTTTCTATTTAATTTTAAAATCTGCAGTCTTTTAAGTAGTAAATAATGATAATGTGATAGTAGTCCATAAATCTTCTTTCTGTGTATCCTGCAAACAGCCATTTGTCAGATAAATATAGACGCATTTTACTAAAACATTGTCGCGTGTTTTTTTGTCTACATTTATGAGTTTTTGGCTAAATTTCGGTTGGACATGCTGTTTTGACTTTTGGCTCGCCAAATATTTAGATTGCTGCCATGCCACACCGACACTATGCATTTACAAACATCCTATTCCTTTTCTGGGATTCGAACCTAGGCCATTCGGAACGGCAGACAACAACGCTAATCACTATACCGGTTGGGCGGCACAAAAAGTTATAAAATAAAATAGTGTTTATGTGATTCGATGAATACTTTTAATGCTTTTTTACTTTTTGTTTGTATTTATCAAAAAAATCGCAGAATTTTTCGGATAATAATATTACAAGACATAAATTTAAACAAGTTTACAAATAATGTTAACCGAAATTTATTTAGTTCATAAGTCTTTACTTTAGTTAATACTTAAGTTTTTTTCCCCTTGATACTATAAATTTGCTAATTTTCTTATCAAATTTTGTTTTTAAAAAAAATTGAATGCATGTTGTGCCAAACTTGTACATCACCTGAACTTATAATTAAATTTCACCTAAACATGTGCTTCTGAAAGCCTGAATTTTGAATTTTTTTTATAATTTGTTTCAGATTTTATGTGAATTTAATGAAATTTTGATTAACAAATGCTAGGGTTTAAAAGCAATATGTTGCCATTAGGCAAAGTATGAAATATTTATGCTTCAAATTTAATCAGGAAACTTGGCGATCTAAAGAAAATAAAATATTTTTATCTTCCGTGTGCCAGTGTGTTGTTGCCATTCAGTAAAACATAAGATATATCATTTTTCTTTTTAATTCAATCTGTCTGTTATTCATTAAAAAAACTAAGCAATTTGAAAGATATAGATGCTGTTACAGTAGAAGAAAATCCGCAAAGCTTCGGCCCAGAGGTTGTGCGGATTTTAGGATTTTGCAGACTTCAGGACAGAAAAGATAACTCATAATATTCAGACTAAACGTGCAAAATAAATAAGGTGTATAAGATACATTTAATTAAATTATTATATACATTATTACTATAATTTATTATATGCATTAAATTATTACATATATAAATTGAATATATTATATTAAATTACATTTATTTTTAAATCAACATGAATCTGCTTTCCCTTTTCTCTCAGGAGTAGTCTTGAAATTGGTACTCCATTACTCTGCTGGTGCCGGAACCAGTAGTACAAGACAGCATCGAGGTTTGTTGATTTCGCCTCATGTAAAGATTTCCGAATTAGAATCACTGTTGCTGTAGAATTTCAGCAGCTTTTCTTTATTTTTCCATATATCATACACAGTACGTGTCACAATTCCATACGATTCTGCTAAAAACCGAGAAGTAGCACCTGCTTCCATCTTGCAGAATTTCCACTTTTTGCATTACTGTCAATGCAACGTGTTAACGTTTTTCAACGTTGCAAGCAAATCATGAGTGTCTTTCTTATCTGTCATTGTATTAAAAAGTGCTGAAATTTAAAATATTCTTAATTTATCCACAAAATATCCGGATAAAAAAAATGGCAGCACTAAACAATCTCGTGAAATAACAAAGCTCAGAAATTACAACAACGTGAACTTAAAAGAAGGGTTGAGTGAATCGTCTGATTTTTCACCTCGATGCAGATTGGAGGGGAAAAACTTTTGTTATGATGTCAATAATTCGGTATTTCCATTATGACTCATTATTATTTGGTAATTATGACTTAATTATTCAGTAAGTATTTTTTCTTCGATATTCCGTACTCTATTTCCGGAACCTATAAACTGAATGTTTATATTTTGAGAGACAATGCGGATTTCAGGAGTTGGTGGATTTTTGGTCTTCAGGTTTTCAGTATTTTAACTGTATTATTAATTAGTAGTTGAAGCCATGAAATTACACTACCTGGACTCATTAAAATTAGTATATATTTGATGTAACGGTTTTGAATGGCTGTCTGTGCAAGTGGCTAATAGAGGTTCTCAACCTGGTGGATGGCATTTATAGTTTTAGGGGGAATGCAATAAACCTTTTATTTAACTGCTAAATATTTAGTAAAAACTACTTTTATTCAAGTGTTGGTATTTATTGACATTATACTCTTTTGTTTAATTTTAAAAAACTATCTAAATCTAAGTAAGTGTATATATATGTATATTTGAAATTTTAGAAAAGGGGGATAGTTTTCTAGCAATGGTGAAAGGAGTGCATGTGACAAAATAGTTTAAGAACCTATGGCTAATGTCAGATATAACTAAGATTTTCTGGCATGATTGATTTAATTGTTAATATTAATTTTGCTTTGAAAAGGGTTTTCTTCAATAAATTTTTTTAATAAAAGTATTTGTATTATTTATCAAGCTGATTTATTATCTTAATATGTTTTAAAATAATTTGTAAAAGGAAATTTATATAAATAGTTTTGTCATGTTTCTTTAACCTATTTCATTTTTATTTTAGATAACTCAAATTCTTCAAAGAAAGTTTACACTTAAAGCCTTCTGGAATACCATCGAGAGTACTTATACGTCATCATGCTTTCTTGGTTTTAATGCATTCGCTTTCATTTTTATATTTTGTTTATTAAGGTGAGTTATATTTCTGTATTTCTTTTAATTCACACAATTCCTCTTACATTCCTTATTTTTTTTTTTTTTTACTTTTATATCTCAATAAGCTCTAGTGTTTGTCTTAATAATTTTAAACATGCAGCTGTTTATGTAACATTCTTTTTAATATTTGTTTTAGTTATTTATTAGCATTATTAACATGTTTTAGCCAGACTTTTACAATTTGTAGTTAGAAAAATAATTTAAATTGCAATGTAATATTTAAGCTAACCTTTCAGTTGATTATGTTCTTATATCAGACTTATGAAATTTTTTAAATACTCTTCTATTAGTAGCAACTCTTCAAGAAAGCTTTGTTGCCAATTGAAAAAAATGTCACCAAATGCTGTTAAGTAATAATATGTAAGAGGATTGGCAAATGTAAAATCAACGGTAAACTATCAGGACCTTGCAGAAGCTGTTGGTTAAATTTGTGTCTTATTTGCTAGGCTCCTGATTCTTTTTGTTTGTTTGCTTTGCCAGTAGTCAAGTAATTGAGAATGAATACTGAGAGTTAGATCCAGGTTCAATCACGGGCAAGCAAGCCGGCTGCATGGTTGATTTTTTTGGATTTTCCTTCGTGTAACAGAAATGCAAGCCAATTTCCCTCTCAGAGATCTCCATGAAGGCATTCTTCCCATAGGCCATGCTTTGCCACATTCTAATAATAACTTTTTTATGCTTCATTATTTATTCTAAGAAAAATGCATGCCATATTTATCGTTTGATGTCTTTTTACATTGGACTTCATACATTAGTCTTTCTTTTTGTGATCAGTTAAATGAAGAATATTTCCACTACAAGATCTTTGACTCTGCAATATATTTCAGATCTAATGACAATATCCATAAATCTGAAAATTGTGAAAGAAATTAATACTAAAAACACTTTTTTTTTGGAAAAATTATCATTAGATCATGGAACCTAATAAAAGATCAACTGATGTGAAGAAGAACAAAAATGTGTAATGATTTTTGTTTTGTTTATACAGAATTTTTTGTATTTTTTGTAGTACTTACGTATTAATTCAGCAACCTTGGCGCCATTTGGAGATTTTTTGAAAAAGTAAAAGTTAGTTATTGGGTGCAAGTTAGTGCTTTATGTGTCTTTTTTTAGAAAAATTCCCAAAGTATTGTAAAATGGTAAATATTGTCAACATATGAAAAGAAAACATATTTTAGCAATTTAAAATATAAATTTTTATTATTAAATAAGGATTATGTCATAAACTACCCAACATTGAAAATGCAACAGCAAGGAGTGTCCTGAAATTATGCAAATTTCAGAGTAGATGCATGCCATCAAGTTATGCAATTGATGTAAAATGCACAACTCTCCATTGTGCTTCATGCAAACATTGAAGCAAATGTAAGGGAAGAATGCAGAATGTTGCATTTTTGTGCTGTTATTTCTGCTAGGGAAATCATCATAGAAAATTTGTTCTTGTCTCAGAGGATGCGTATGACAGTAGAGAATACTAGGCCATCATCAACAGAGGCAGTTCCAGCAGACAGACAAGGGGCATGTAGATCAAATTGAGAAGGGCAGGCTGATCCATACAGGAAATCTCAACTGACACACACTTGGACACATCCACAGCTGTGGTGACGCTGGTTGCACCGGCTGTGGTGACGATGGTTGGAACAAAGAAATTTTGCGAGTTTGAGAGGTAGTGGTGCAGCCAGAGTGATGTCAGCACTCTGGCTGCATCCACTGACAAGTGGTGGCACATCCATAAGCCATTTCTACCTCTATTCTGCAGCATGTTCAAGATACCCTGGATGTTTCCATATCAACCAGAACCATTTGCTGTGGATGTGTGGCTAGTGGCCTGCATTCATGGCATCCATTAAGAAGACTGCCGTTGACCATATATCATAGATGCCAATGTCTGCAATGGTGCCGGGCATAAACTATGTGGATGATGAAATGGCACAGGGTCCTGTTCTCAGATGAGTCACTCGTCTGTTTTTCCAATGATAGTCGCTGTGTATGAATGTGCAAACAGGTCCAATCCGACAGCAGTTGTTGAACGTTCCACCTGCAACAACTTGGCATTATGGTTTGAGGCACAACTTTGTATAATGCCAGGTCACCTCTAGTTTGTATTTAGGGCACTACGGTGGCCCAATGATATTGGATGATGTGCTTCAGCCAGTGATACTCCTGTACCTTCAGGGAATGTCCAAGGCCCTTTATCAGCAGGATGACACTTGACCACACACTGCTTGCATCAGCCAATGTGCTCTGCATGGTGTGCAGATGCTTCTCTGGCCATTGTTCTTTCCTGATCTCTCACCGATTGAACACATTTGGGATGTGATCAGAGTTGTAGCTAGGGTTTTCAGCACCTGGGGATAGCTGAAGATCTCACGCCCCTTTTGTTTGCCAAAAATGGAAAATATTTAATTCTAGAAATTCGGTGCCCTGGGGACAGGTTTCTGCTTTTCCCCCTCTAGCTAGGCCCTTGGATGTGATTGGATGCCATTTGCAGACCCTGAAATTGCTGTGTTCAGAAGATGAACTGTAGCAAATGCTTGACAGGGAATGGAGAGCCATTCCTCAGAACACCATCCGTAGTCTCTTTGATTCTGTACCTAGATATGCTACTTTGTGTATTGCCATCTAGTGTGGTTCTACAACCTACTGAGCCAATGCAGTTCTTGCACTGCATTATGCATATCATTTCAAAATAAAGCTCACTTATTATTCATTGCTGTCTTTCTGTGTTTGCCGAATTTCATCACTTTCTGGTTACTCCTTGGTATTGCATTTTCAATGTCAGGTAGTGTTTATGAGAAAAAATAAAACTTAAATTCTTAAAATTAAAAATCTGTTTTTGCTTAAAGAAACATCAAAGAATTTGCCGAAACTCGACTTCATGCAATCCTCAGCAACAACGGCTATCTAGGAAATGCATTTCCTTGTTGTTTCCCTTTATAAAAGTTTCAATAAAATTCTGTATGCCTGCAGAAATTTTACCACAGTTTCTTCCATTGCTGGCAGGTATATATTTTAAAACTAAGACAAAAAATATCATGATTTCTTTTATAAAATCCATTGGAACTTGGAATACAACAAAAAGGAATGCATATGAATATGATGGCATTGCTTGATTGAATTATTGTCATAAACATGGTTGCCAGAGTTTGGCTGAGTCTGAAAATTTGGCATCTTCTACAAAGGCGGTTATGTTAATACACAAGTAAGGTTTTTGTTTTTTCAAAAGTAAAAAATTTGATTAGACTCTGAGATTTTGTTTTTGCTGGATAAATTGATAGGATTCTGATATTCTGTAAGATAAGTGATATTCTGTAAGTTGAAATTTTTATAGCTTACCACTACATAAATCATTACTTTTTATTTGGTCCTTATCCATAAACAATTCATTCATTCAAGTATTCATTATGCTTTAATAAATAAAATGCAAATATTACGTATTTCTATATTCAACATTTACTAAAGGTATTAAAAACCAAAAAGATATTGAAAAACAATTTACTGATTTAGATCACTTTTTAATGTCTCTTTTAAGAATACATTGACTAGATTTAGTGAGAAAATTACAAAATAAAAATTGCTTGTTTTGGTAATTAATAGTTCTGTAATTGGGTGAAAAGTGCTTGTTACTAACTTTGTGACTGGCCCCAAAGAACCATTAATTACTAATATCTTTATGAATTTTGCAGATAGAAATAAGAGAATTTTATATTTAATTTATTAAGTGTGATGAACATTTTACTAATCAGACCTTTGGTTCTAAGAGGACTGTAAAAATTTAAATTTTGTATTTACAAAGCCTGGTGCTGAAACTAAGCTTTATTAAAAAAAAAAAAAAAAAAAAAAAAAAAAAACTTTAGAATTAGAAATGCATATTTAAGATATTGGTATCCAAAGCAATTGATAGATTCTTATTTGAAAAATTCATTCATATTCCCTTAATGATAAATTAGGTGCTTTTTTTATATTATGCTGCATAAATTGTAAAAAAAGAGAGTAAAACTTCAGGTTATGGATCAGTTTGATATGTTTTAAAAAAATTGCTAACTTGGCAAATCATTATACAGGTGGAGGACAAAATAATGCAAACACCTGTGAAAAAGTATGATGTATTTCACACCTGCAGTACAGCTGTGCCACCTGCAACAGAAGTCTGCCACCTAGTGAGCTTGAAGAGGAAGGTATCAGCCTCTCAACAGCAGTCGCCTGCATTGCATGCTTTGACCAAACTGTCTGTGAGAAGTTGAAATGTCAGACCTGTCAGAGTTCCGAAGAGGAATGATACTTGGAGCAGGTTTAAGTGAAGCATCGGTTACAGAAACAGCAAACCTTGTGGGGTGTGCAAGGAGTATGGTATCGGCTGTTACGACAGCATAACGAAAGAGGGTAAGACGGCGTCTTCAAAGCACAACAGTGGCCGAAATTCAAAGCTGGCTGATAGGGATAGATGGGTCTTGAAGTGCATAGTAACCCGAAAGCACAAGCAATTGTTATCCGAGATAACACCCGAAATGAACAGTCATCTCCAGGACCCCATTTCAACAAAAACTGTCAAAAGGGAACTTTATGCTGTGAACATTTATGGCAGAGTGGCAATGCATAAACCCTTGGTGACAGCAACTAATGCTTTCAAGCGATGGCAGTGGTGCAGAGATCACAAAGGCTGGCCCTCACAGCAGTGGCAACAGGTAATATGGTCAGATGAATCATCATTCCCCCCATTTCAGATGACCGGACACGTTTATGTCTTGAGAACGCCCAAAAAAGTGTTTCATCCTGACTGCCTCTTGCCGACTGTGAAGCATTTGGGGTGGTGCCATTATGGTATGTGGTGCAATATCTTGGCGTGTGATCTTTTTGTCACTTGTTATTCTGCATGGGAGAATCACATCCAATCAATATCTAAGCATTCCAGGGGATCATGTCCATCCTTTTGTCCAGAACTGTATTCCCTGGAGAGCGACCGCTTTTTCAAGACGACAACGCCCATATCCACACTGCTAAGTGTATTCAAGAATGGTTCGAATACCATGACGCTTGGCCCCCTCAGTCTCCGGGGGCGCTGTCGTTCAAAACGACAGCGCCCCTATCCACACTGCTAAGTGTATTCAAGAATGGTTCAAAGAGCATGATGATGCAATTGAACATCTCGCTTGCCTCCCCTCAGTCTCCGGACATGACTATTATTGAAGATTTATGGGCATATTAGGAATCCAAACTTTGTTCCCGATTTCCACCTCCATCAGGACTTTCGAAATTAGAGATCGCTCTGCCAAGGGAATGGCTTAACATTCCTTTAAATATCGTCCATGACCTTTATGCATCTATCCCACGTCGTATTCAATCTGTACTTCAGTCAAAGGGTAGTCCAAATCCCTATTAATAAAGATTTTCCATTATTTCACAGGTGTTTCTCTTATTTTGTCCTCCCTCTGTATTTTGGTAATTGTGATTTTGAATGAAACCTGTAAATATATGATAAAAACTTAAAGGAGAAGTTAAAGAGAAGTGACAAAGTATCTTATTTTAAAGCAAATTAATATACATATTATGGGATCTAGCATATTAAGAACTTGGAATGTTTCCCATTTCGAATTTAGAAATAACAGCAACAAAAAAGGAAAATTGTTATATATCATGAAGTTAAGAAACAGTATGACTTAAAATGAGCAATAAATAATAGAATAATATATTTATTCACATTTAGCTAAAACTTTAAGAACTAAAACACAAAAAGGAAAAGGAAATTCAAAATGGCCCACATTTCAAACATATTTTTGACAGAATATAATAGACATCTGCTGAAAAATGATTCTGACTATGATTTTTATTTAAATCAAAATCTATTAATCAGATGAGAAGTTTAAAAATAAAAAAGAGATCTATGAAAATGTAATAACAATTAACCTTACCTTTTCCACTCGTATATCTATTGCTTTTAAAAATTGGGTAAATCAGACTCCCGATGGTAAATTAGCACTTTCAAACAACCATTTACCATCTGTTCATTTCCTACAATGATATTTCCTTTTAACAGACTTAATTTTCATGGATTTCAACCACACTTTCAAGTTCTCTAAATATGTCATTCTTTCTCATTTCCACTCACACCTCTCTATAAAATATCTTTCAGTATGCCAATGGCCACTCACATCCCCCTTATCTATAATGAACTAATTTGTACATTTCAGACTCCATGAATATGTTAGTTGAAGGATCAGAATCGTATGTATACAAGCTCAGAAAATCAAAATCCGTTTTTTTTTTTTTTTTTTTTTTTTTAATTTTTTTTTAACATTAATTTTCACTTCATGCATAGAAGGGCCAAACATATGACACTACCATTCACACAAATGTGCCCTATTCTTTCAACTAATTTCATACTGTTTTTTGCTCTTAGGATACACATTTGACGTAACCCATTTCTTTATGCACAGTGTATCACAAAACTTTCCCCCTTATCTTGGAACTTAATCCGGTATGTAAAATCTAGATGTTCAACACTTTTGACACCATCCATGTTGTACACGAGAAATCCATGTTGATCTACAAGAAACACAAGCTATGTTGATTTGCAAGAATACAGCAAAATGATTTCAAAAATTTCTGGTTATATAGTCTATAATATGACAACCTAAATATTGAAGAAAAAGTTTCAGCAAAAGATTGTCACCAGACTGTGTGAGTTTTCACAACTTGGTGACACCAGCCCATAATCTGCAGGCTATCCAAAAAAGTTAATTTTATACCAGAAAGGTGTTGGAATTTACGTCATGTTGGATTCTAGTGTGGCTGCATTGCAACATTCATAAAAAAAAAAGGAGGGGGATAATGGCACTGTTCAAGAAGCTCATTGATGAGTCAATCTTCTGTCCAGTTTTTCCAGTTTGACATTTTTGCAACTGACCACATGGTATTTGTACATTCTTGTTAAATGTTAATTTTGCCAATGTACTATGCTATTGATTTCAGTCATTATTATTGTAGCTGAATTTTAAGTATAATTAATTTGGAAAAAGGATGATGCTAGTGTTCATCAATTTCCGAAATATGACATGAAAAGGCTATTTTAACACCAAAAGATTGCTTGAGTGAGTTTTACTTCATAATGTACTGTTTGTGGAGATCCTTTTTGTGACAATATGATTGCAAGAAGTGATGTTATTAGGAATATAAATGGATATCAACAATTAAATTTTAAACTGAATGTTTGGAATCTTGATTTTGTTCAAGGAATGTAACTGCTTTGAGTGCAGTAGATGTTTTGAAGAGTGGATGTTTTGAAGAGAAGCTTTAAGTGAAAAATATATTAATAATGCATAAAAAGATGTTATGAAAAATCCCAATTAAATGCTGTTTGGATCAATTATGTATAAAATATGAAAAGGATTTTTATTGTATGCTGTTTAATAAACAACAAGTTTTTGAAATGCAGAGAAAATTATTATGTAAATTGGGTACTTTTCTGCACCCAATGAACATAATAAATTGTTCTGTTGTACCTTTTGGCAGGTGATGGTCTATTTGCTATCACTTGCCATGCAATGTGTATGCGTGTGTGCTTGTTTAACCATCTATAAGCTATTCTTATAACTAGAAATTATAATTAAGAAAAACTTGCTGAAGCAAGTGCATAGCATAAACATATGGTAAATTGTTTAACGCTTCTGAATATGCAAAGAAACAGTACTGATTTTAGATAAAGTACTGATGGAATGAAGGAATTAAGGTGATCTACCACTGTTTTAAACAGTGAAAAAGTGAGGATAAGTGGATTATGTAGATATTAAAAAAAGTGATCTTAAGAAACATTAGCATTTGTGCCAAATACTGTAGTCCATTATTATTGCATTTCTGAACCACTAATACCAAGAAATCATAAAATATAGTTTCAGAAGGGTCAAAGTCAGTATTAAATCCTTTTTTCTCATTTTATGTTAATTGTGAATTCCTTTGTAACAAAGTTTTTGGAATCTTCTTTTGTGATTTCTTTAATATAATAAAAATACTGAATATATTTACAGGTATTTACTTAAACAATTATACAAAAGTTTTAATGGAAAAATATTTTATTTCAAATAATCATAAACTAGGAAAATATTAAAAAAAGTAATAAATACTGTTTTATTAATTGCAAACTCCAGTTTTATTATTTTTCTTTTGTGTAATTTCAAACATCATACAATCTGTACTTTTAAAAAGTTACTGCCTTGTATAATTGTTAGTTAAAGTCATTATCACATTATAAATACAAATGTTTGAATTTAGTTTTTTTTAAATTACATTAATGTTTCTCTTTACATTAGCTTAATTTTATAAATGTGTGTAATAATGATATTCATCATAAATGAAAAAGAATTTCCATGATATACTTTCAGGCATATGTGAAATATATTTATTGACTAATTTAGGTAGTTTTTCTGTTATATACATTGATGATATAAAAAGACAAGGGTTATTGTTATCTTTATTCAATAGTTAGTGTTTTTCAGATAAAAACCATTTGCTGCTCATAATAAATGATTTATGTATCGGAAGGAAGTATTCATTGAACTACTTAGTTTGAACAGTGTATTTATAAATAAATTAAATACTTGATACTAGGTAAAATTTTGAATATAATAATTCTCATCTTCAGAGCCTTTTTTTCAATTTTCCAGTAGCACAGTAGTTTCTAATTTGTGGTTAAATTATTGTAAACGGTTTGTAGTTCATTCAGTTAGGTTTATGCAGAAAACTAATTAAAATATTTACAGAAAAAACTAAGAAAATAATTGATAATGCTTGTTTTTTTAGAGCTGACATTAATTAAATAGGTGATATATGAAAGCCAATTTTCAAACAAAAAGTTAATATCTGATTTAGTAAATGGACTCTCATTTGCAATAACAGACAGAATGTGCTGCCATGTTTCTGTGTCATTGCTTTCTCATTATGAACATTGTAGCTTTTGCAAAGCATATAATGGCCTTTTTTAGGTATGTATTATAATAATAAATATAATAATATATAATTGAAGAAGACTTTCATGAAACATATACTAGAAGAAACAGGAGCACATTAATGCTATATGTGCTCCTGTTTCATGGCAATTTTTGTGGTGTGTGTTCCGTTGTGTTGAAGCAGCCAGTGATTAGTAGCTGAAATACATGCTTGCGCCATCTTCTAGGATTAGTATAGCTATCTGATTAAGTGCTGTATCCCTCAACTAGATCTGCAGTTAGACACATTGTTCTTTGCTTTATTTATAAGCAATTGAATGAAAAAGAGTATTTAAAACAAAGGGATTTGTTTAGCTACAAGAATACACTTTGAGGACTTCAATATTTTCTATAAGTTACTACACTACTGATGAGCATTAGCAATGTTTAACAGTAAACAAAGGCTTTCTTGTAAATATTCTTAATGTCATTTAGATTTGTCATTTCTATGATTAAAATATGCTGTTTTGAGAAAAATAAAAATGTTCCACCATTTTTAAAATGTATATATTTTTAACATTAAATATCTATATTTTTCTTTTTATGTTTCAGGAGGTCTATGGGAAAGTTTTATTATCTGCATTGCTCTTACTTCCCAGCTTTTATGGCAAGCTTTCTTGCAATTTTAATTGAGAAAAAAAATAGGTTTGTGTAATTTTTTCCTTCTCAATTTTTTTTTTCCTATTTAAAATAATTTCTGTGTATTGCTGTGATATTGAAACAAATGATAATGAAATGCTTCACACATCATTTATTAGGCATATTCAGAAATTAAACTCTGTTTGGCAATATTTTTCGCACAGAATATTACAATATTGATTGTGCGCATGGCAATAATTTTTCGTACTTTCAGGAGTCATTTTCTTTTTTCTCCTTTTTCCTTCTCCTGACCCCCCTCCCCAAAAAAAGTTCAAAAATATTTTCATGTCATTATAAAACTTTAAAATGTTTTCAAAATCCCACCAAATATCTGTTATACACAGAAATTTGAATATGGAAAAATGTTTTCATTTGACATTTAATGTCAAATACGCAAAATTTCTAAAACATTTTCCATGTTTAGCTTGGCAGTGAGAAGATGTACAGGAGAATTAAATGAAAGCTGTAGTAATAATCATAATGAATAACATAGTGGCAGATTGTCTGTTTAAAAAAATATTTTTGTTATGGCTGTCAACATTTAAAAAAAATATTCACACGGCTTTTTGTTTCAGAGTTTCATTACTTTCCATGAATACTGATCATTCTTCTGTACTAAACTGGATACTTTCTGATTAGCTGCACTGCAACCAGAAAGTTGCAGAAAAGTAGGAGGCAAATGTATCATGTCAATAAATAGTATTTATGCGTCGACTCAAATATGCGTGTAGCATAAGTGGATTTGCACTTTTGAAATGCAGCAGTTATTTTTTTATTAGTATTTGTTTTTGCATTTATTTTTCATCCTAATGAATTATAACAGAGCTAAGGAATTTACCTCTTTTGTTTTCACACTGAGTGTATGTTGAAATGTGAACCGTCTTGAACGATCCTGATTGTGGCCAGTTTATGTAATTCTTAGATATTTATTTTTTTTAAACTGACCAGAATGCCAAGTTTATGTAATTCTTAGATATTTATTTTTTTTAAACAGATCACTATGTATGCAGAGAGAACAAAAGGGGAAAAAAATGAAAAGAGCGTAAATTAAGAATAAAAAAAAAGTAAGAAAGACCAAAAAAAGGTGTAGACATGTAGTTGAAATAGATACCTACACAACTGTTTGTCTCCAGTGTTGCCAGTGAGTCTGTAGCTTCTCACTTGTGTGGATAACCAAAAAGTACCCTAAATTGTCAAAAATTGATTGAATTATCAAATGCTTTGTGTTGTAGGTTTTTTTTTTTTGGGGGGGGGTGCGTATGTGTGTGTGTCAAAAATTGTCTGGTGTTCCTGTCAATTTTTAAAAGCTATGAAATCTTGATTCAAATTGTTACAAGAAATGAAATTTGTATATTCCATGCAAATCTGGAATTAAAAGATCATTTTATGGCATGAAGACTTCTTATCCACGCAAAATTTAAAATTCACCCAAAGTGTTTCAGTCATAAGAAATCGTATGCACTGCATTTTGGGGATCAGCTCGCTGTGTGAAATTTTTATTTTGAGGTTAAGTATAAACTCAGATTTCAATTGTAAGACTTAAAAAACGTTATATTGAGTAATTCAGAACAAGAGATGTGGAATTCTCAAAATATTATACTGCACCATTATGCCACTTTGTCACATATCACTGCTTGGCAGTATTTAGTTCTTATTAAAATCTTCTTTGCTTGGAAACAAATGGATCTTCTTTTCTAAAGTCCAGAACTGATATTGATTTTCATCTTTTTCTTCATCTGAAAATGTTCCTTGCTAGACAGTAATTCAGAGATGAAGAAAAAGAAAGTGAAGGCAGGTATCATTTATTGGCTAAATAACAGATGTGTCATGTCTCTTAGAAAGGAAACAAAATCTTCTGTTGTATGATGAAAAATGCTTCAGTTTTGATGGATTTGTGTAGAAAAGTAGTTTAAAAAGCGAGAACAATATCATAATTTTTTTTTAATTTAATGTTTTTGTTGTTTGCAGTTAAATGCAGCTTATTTTCTGAATAAGCAGTGAATATTTTTAAAGAAATTTTCATACTAAAACACATTTGATATGATGTGTATTTTTAATATACAAAGTAGATTTTTTTTTTAAAAAAAATTCGTACTGGATGTCAGTATAGTGATGTGAAATTTTAAAATTTTGTGTTTAAATGTTTTAGTGCATCTATTAATAATTATAGATTTCAAGAAACCTTTATGTGAATCATCTTATGAAAGTGCTAAACATTTTAGATTTAATTCTTACAACTTACTTTGTTTTTTATAAAGTAATTTAGAAAGCAATTTGCACCAGTTATTACATTTTTATAACTTTAATTGCCCTTTAGAAGAAATTTCCTTTTTCAGCTTTAATTTTTTTTCACTTCCAATTAACATGCGACCATTTTGCTGCCTGCATAGTCTTCCTCAGATAGGATAATCTTTTAAAAAATATTGCTTTTTGTACTAATTGCTTTTATATGTATACATATATGTGCATGTGTTTTGTGATTAAGATGTAATTAATTACATTTCTCTTTTTTTTCCTTCCCAGGAGAGGTCCTTTAGCTCTTTATGTAACTAATGTGGTAAGTTGATTTCTTTATTCTGTTTTATAGTACATATTTTTATTCACTCTTTCAGAATATTCTTTCTTATAAAGCTTGAGTTGAGAATCACAGATTTCAGTGAGTAGCATATCTCTTTCTAATGTGGAACTTATATAATGAACATTGAAGCAAAACCAAGTCATTTTGCATGCTCATAAAGTGTTGATTTGATATATTCAATCTCTTAACAATTTCTTGCTAAGAGATTGAATTTATTAGCAAGAATTTGCTAAGAGTTTGAAACTTTGTTATTTACCATTTTGCTTCTTTCAATATTTTTTTTTGCCTTCATCAGCTTCAACTGCCCTTTCAGAATGCAGAGCATTTCATTATTGAAAGTACCAGAATGCAATTTTGAAGAGTTTTGGCACTGCCATTCTATCAGTATATGTTCTCCATACATGTTACAAATTTGTTTTCTTGCTTGATCAGCATTCTTGATTTTTCAGTTATAAAAAAGGAAAATGTGCTCAAAATGCTATTTTTGATTTTTTATACTTAATGGTACACACACACACACATGCAAAAAAAGGAGGGAAAGAGCTTAAGTTTTTTTTTTTTTTTTTTTAATGCTGTAGCTAAGTTTAGAGTTTACTAGTCTGTTATTGGACTTACTCATGCTAGAGAAATTTTTTTTATCTTTTTAATTTTATTATTAAACATTGCAGTCTTTGCACTCACACCAGACCAAATTCATTAGCAAAATGACAAAAATTTTAAAAGCAGCATATGTTGTGTTAAATGTTGTCATGAATATTTTTTCAATTCTTTCTCAGTTCATCATATCAATATTCAATTTTCTTATTAAGCTGACTTAGATAGCTAATATTTTGTCTTTTTATTATTAATTTTTTGTTTCTTTTGTTTATTAAACACTATTTTCTTTGCAGCTATGCCACATAAAATTCAACAACAAAACCATAAGATATTTAAAAATAGCTTACCTTTAGAATTATTGATGGAATGTAAATGTTATGCATTTTCTTAGATTTGCTATATTATTTCTTTGAAAATAGTACGACGACACTAAGATTTGGTGGCATCATCCTTTTATTTATATTACTATACTTTTTTAAAAATTTAATTATATTATTTCTTTAAAATAATATATTGCAATAAGATTTGGTGTGAACATCCTTTTACTTGTAAACGACACAAACAAACAAAAAAGAAGGAATGAAATTAATAGTACCTCTGGTGCTAAAAAAGGGGGGAGGGCATAAAGTAAAACAAAATTTTTACAAATAAGCCTTGAAATGTCAGCTGTCAAAATATATAATGACAATATAATTTAGGGCTAGTTAAAAGTACAACTGATCCCTTTTGTAATAAAAGAAAAAAATAATAAATCTTTCTGAACAGTTTAATAGACTTTGCCCAAATTGTTGCATTAGTTTTATTCTGTAAGCTTGCTGGTTGCAGTATACTTACTTTGCACATTCCTTATAACCATTGTAAACATCTGCGAAATTTTTTTGAGAACTAATTGTATAAGGCAGATTAACTGTAATAGATTAGAGCAATTTTTCATTAAATTGCTTATATTTCTAAATCAAATGAAGAAGAAAGAAAAGAAGTAAGGGGACATGAAACTAGTTATATTATTCAAGTCAATAAGAGCATGTTTATAAAAATAAAAAATAATGCTGCTGTAAGCTTTTGCTGCTTTGAATTTCTTTTGCAATTAATTTTATGTCAAGCAGAAAGCCTACTTTTTATATTGACATGCTGTTGTACGCATATTGGTAAGATAATTCGTAGTGCAACTGAATTTCCTGGTTTCGCTTGAAAATGCCGAAGCAGGTATACTTGTGGCATGTTTACTAAGATGCAATTTTTCCTGTTACATAAGGTAATTTAAATAACAGTGAGGTGAATATGAATTAAGATAGTTCTTGTATGATATGAGAACCAACATGCAATAAGAAATGTAAAAGATTGCTTTTGCTATTCTATCAATCATCGAAAATTTCCCAAAATTGACAAATTCGATTATGTAAAATTCCACTGCATATAATATAAAAAGACATATAATAAGTTCGCAGGCTTCATTTCTTCTATGTAAATACCTGGAACTACAGATTATGTTATTGGCACTGTAACTAATAAATCTATATTTTTTGTTTTCATCTTCATTCAATCTCTAGTTTGTTTTTTTAATGTTTCACCATTTACTAAAAGAATCCATATCAAGAAGTACATAAAACTATTATTAAAGTCCTAATTTATTCTCTTGCAAAATGTTGGGAGAAAACTGTGCATTTCTTAAAGCAGCAATCTTGCTATTAGTACCTTTGTCATGGTGTCAGCAATAATATATAAACAAATTATGTGTGTACCTGTTGTGTCTTGATAAATAATCTGAGTAGCATTAGTACTTCCAGATCATCATCATCATACGTATATTAATGATCTGATTTGGAAATATTGCACACAATATGTTGATGTGTATAGAAGAAGCTGACAGATGCGACTGGATTACAAGATTCCTTTTAATTTTTATTGGCACATATTTGTGTAGTCAACATGGTAGTACCATTTATAATTTTGAAATATATTTTTGAAAACAGACAAAAGAGGAAGTCTAAGTAGCAAGAGAAGCAGAAGCAAAATATGACTATTCCAAGATACAAGCTTAGTTCAAAGGCAAAAGTTATGATTTGCAATTTTTTCAATGTGGATTTAAAGCTTATGTACTTAATATTATTCCTGGCTGCCAGCAAACCTTGGAAATTGGTGAAGATGCCTCCAAATTTGAGCCAGTCATTCTTATAGAATTCTGAGCCTGACTCCTATCTGCAGTTTTTTACAATAAAATATTTTACATTCTCTCTGTACAGTCCACCAAGGAGCTTATGGGAATATTTGTATGCTTCAATTTTGGGCTTTGTAAAAAGCCTTATTAATTTCTACTGTTTTGTCAGGCCCTCCAATCTGCAGGTAATTAATCCAGTCTGTTACTGTTTTGTCAGGTTCATTCAGCTGCTCTTTATCCCATCCAATGGACATTAGTCTCTCAACCAGCTGCAAATAAACTGGAGTGCAGTTGCAAATGTGATTTTACAGTCTTCAATTTCCATTCCCTTTCAAATGGATATTACCCTGTCCCAATTTTTCATGTTTATCATCATTGTTTATCTGTGGTTATGTGAAGACTTAGGTGCAAAGACACTTGATTCAGGCTCCTTGGCTTAACACACATCCTGAATGTAATGAATAGCAGTTACATAGCTTTTTGTATGCAAAGCATATCTGAGCTCCTTACCTGAGAGTAAAATTCTTGTGGGAAAGATGCATAGATAACTCGCTGTATATTATTGTTACTTATAGCATACTTATAACAGATGCTATAAGTATATTATGATATCATACTTACCCATAACTGGTGTTAAATCTCATTGATGACAGTTTTATGGTAAACTGAGTTTTTCTTTTTTTCAAATTATCTCCATCATCAGCTTAACAAAAAAAAAAAAAAAAAAAAAAAAGGGAAAGGGGAAATATCCAAATTAAAATATAGAATTGAGGGACTATTGTACGTTTAGTCATTTGTGACTTATATGTTTTTGTTAGCTTACACACTCACCCACCCACATATATATATAATGTGTAAGACATAATGAAATACTATGGTTATATTAAGAAATAATTGACAACTTCAAAATTGACTATTCTAGATTTTATGTTCTACCCCTAAGTTCATCTGTTCTCCCAAGTTCGAGATCTTTTCAAGTTATGTAACACTGCTTACAAAAGGGAACTAAAACCTAAAATTAACCAAGCTTAGCTGTACATATGCACCTACCTAATATAAATAGCTACTAACTGCATAGTTCTCTCTCTCTCTATCTTTCACCTGCCTGCTGATAGCGTGTCATTCAGCCTCTGCTAACTATTTGCCATTATTTAAAATGTGATTACATATCTAAAATTATGGAGCTTGTTTAGCACTCCTAGTCTTCTATCACTTATGAAGATAGGTGTAAGAAATTTGTCATCCAAAAAAAATTACATTTATCTATTAAGATGGGCCGTGCTTCTTCCAAAATTCAAGCCAGTCATTTTACTACATCGCAATTTCCATTCATCTACACAGCAGTATTTTCAGCCATGACTAGAACGTGATTATTTTTATCTTCCACCAAAAGTAAAAAGTTACATATACAGTCAAAAGTCGTTAAACCGGACTCGCCGGGACTTCGTCAATTCCGGATTATCGATTTTTCCGGATTATAGATCATCAGTTTAAATCTCGTAAGATGGCATGCAGAAATTCTAAAATTAAAAATATGAAACCGTACTTTATGAAATAAAGAACAATTATGATCTAAAGGGTATCAAAATTTACAAAAAAAAAAAAAAAAAGCTTAATATTTATTTGTTTACTTTTATAAACATTTCTTTCAATGTAAGTTGTTTAAGTTGCTTCTTTTTATGTGATATACTTTTTCTTTAATTCTATAAACAGACATAATTTCTTGTTCAGTTACAAAGTTCCACTGTTCAAGTCCCGTAATTGCTGTGCGAGAATACCGACTAACTTGTCAATCGAAATTTTTTTCGTTTTCACTAACCTCTCTGTCACATTCTCAGTCTTTATCCATTTTTGCAGCAGTTCCACTTTGTTTGATGGACATCGAAACATACTTTCATTTTGTAGATCCTTTGGGAGCTCCAACATCGGAAATTCTATTTGACATAATCGAAAGTTCAAGTTTACTTTTATAAGATTGCTCTTACATTCTGCAAAAAATAATAAGCCGGATCCAATTCAAAGATTAAGGAACAATGCAATCATCAACATTAATTGAAGTAGATAATTAGATAATTTTAGGTTATACCGTCCGTTATACATAAAACGCGGACGCGAATCAGATCAACTTGACATCTTGAATTTCACTCAGAACTGACCACTGGTATTCTGCGCTTGCGCACGCATATATGCGCAGTCGTAAAGTTCTTACGTGTACGCGTAAACG